ATTTCAACGGGGAGGCACGGTGGCGCAGGGGTTCAATTCCAGACCTGGAGCACTGTCTATGGGGAGCTTGCATGTTCCCCCGAGGTTTGCATGGGTTATTCCCACAGTCCAAAAAGCATTCTGGTAGGTTGTTTGGCTTCTGGGAAAACTGGTCCAGGTGTGAGTGTGTGTATCTGTGCGTGCCCTGAAATGGACTGGCATCCCACCCAGAGTGTATCCCACCTTGTTTGCCAGGATAGACTCCGACTCTTCCATGATCCAGTGTTGGATAATGTGGTTAGAAAATGAATAGGATTGCTGGATATTTCAATCGTGAGGTTATATGCGTCATAAAGTCAACCCAGTGTATGTTTTAAGTCACCACGTCTTATGTGCAATCGTCGTTGCGAGCTTATATACTTCAGTCCTAATAAAGACACATATTGGTGCTACAGCCCTTATTAAATTAACCTGGTAAGCGCTGAAATTAAAAAGCACACGTTTTGTAACACTCCCGTGAAAATTGTACGGCAGCGATGCTGAGTTTGACGGTACAGTCTGAGCACTGAACATGCTTAATTACAGCAGTGTGAGCCTGCCCAGTACCTGGAGGGGAGACTCCTGGGAAAAACTGAGGCTGTTGCTGGGAGAGGTGTTAGTGGGGCCAGCAGGGGGCGCTCACCCTGCAGTCTGTGTGGGTCCTGATGCCCCAGTATAGTGAGGGGGCCACTACACTGTAAAAAAGGCACCGTCCTTCAGATGAGACGTAAAACCGAGGTCCTGATTCTCTGTGGTCGTTAAAAATCCCAGAGTGTTTCTAAAAAAGAATAGGGGTGTCACCCCAGTGTCCTGGCCAAATCTCCCCCCTGGCCTTTACCAGTCATGGCCTCCCAATAACCCCCCTCTCTGAACTGGCTCCATCACTCTGCTCTCCTCCCCACTGAGAGCTGGTGTGTGGGGAGCGGACTGGAGCATCATCCAGGTGGGGGTGGAGGGGATCCCCATGACCTGTCCAGGGTCCAGGCGCTGTGAGTGGGGTGTCCAGAAAAAGCGCTATACTGTATAAGTGTCGGGACTTAATTATGATGACACCCCTCCTTCCACATCGCCCCGGTTGAGTTCAGTCTTGTATTAAGTGCGCGCGTTGAGTGCTTTGCCCAGGTGCTGCGCCTGCTTTTAAATTTAAAAGAAGACGCCCCGTTTGTTTTTCGACAATGAAGGATAACACCGTGTCGGTTCTCCTCAGGTCTGGTCAAGTGTGGTCCTCACGGAGCCGGGGCCGCCACACCCCGTGCATTTCATAAACAAGCATGCAAACATGAAAAACTAAGCAAGCGGCCAGCCCCAAAAACCTATTGCGTGGATCCCTGGTGATTTCCACCTGTGTGGGGGGAAAATCTCTCCTTTCCTGCCAACATCTGCAGGCGCGCAGTCTTGAGAACCACCGTTTCAGCGACCGGGTCCCGAAAATTAAAGGCGAGGCAGCGAGCGAAGGACTTGTCGACGTTTCCAGCTCGCTCGGTTTGGGGAAGTGAGGCCTGCTTCTGCTTTTGGCACTGATAGCTGGTAACTGAGAATTACGCGGGGGCCCAATGCGAGAGAGGGGGCGGGCGCTTGCGGAGCGCTGTGACGGAGAGCTTCGTCCTGTAAAGAGACAGAGCGGTAACGATTATTTGTACTTTTATTTGCTAATTCGCCAGACACGCGATAAAATCGCTGCAGGAACACGCGTAAATGACGGAATTCTGCCTCCCGGGTAAGTTGTCTTTCTGTTTAGATACATTTACAGGCGCATCTCTGGAGTCGCTTTACGTTGTATTATTTCTTTTGGGGGGACGGGGTAGAAGAATATTCTCTACGGTCCTCCATGCCGAGTCCCCCCCGCCGCCCTCCCCTGCAGTGATCTTTTTATTGCCCTCCGCGTGTACTAGACCCTGGGTTTGTCAGGAAAAACAAACGAACCAAGTTTGGTAGCGGTTGTAATGAACTGACAGGCGTTTGCGTTTTTGTTGGGGGGGGTGTTTTGACATATATTTCTAGCTTTGTTCCTGCTGCCTTCGCGCTCGGCGAGATAAGAGCACCCTGCTCTCTGAAAACGACGTTGTCCACGCAGGGTTTGCCACTGACCTAAGTCACGTTAGACACCGATTTGAAGTTGTTACCTCTCCGGCTGGCCCGTTGCGTCCGCGGTGCTCCTGGGTCGCTTGGAAGCTTTAGCGCTTGAGCAGCTGGGAGAAAGCTGATCCAAATCTGCCGGTAACGGTCCGATCTGGGTCTTTAACACTTGCCTGTAACACAAGACTCACCTGAAGGCTCCTGCGGCACCCCTATCGTATCCCGGTCATCAGTCCTGGCTGCTCACGACCTTAAAACTAACCCTGGACCGGTCACTAGTTACCTCACAACCGTAACAAATGAAACACGTCAAGTCTGGGAAGTGATATCGCTGATTTTTATTCTTGCTTTGTGTGTGTGTCATTCAAAGCTTCCAGAGGTCAGATGGTCTGAGCCGGCGTCTTCGGAAGAGTCAGGATGGACGACCCCACAGAGGCGCAAGGCGAGCTTCACGATACGGGTAACCGAGATATGAGCGCGATTGAATAAGACACCGGGCGCGAATGCGAAATATTCGGGGCGCTGTGACCTTCTGCTCCACGCAGCAGCCCCGTAGGTGTGTGTGTGCGCGTGTCAACGCCGCGTACTGCCAAGAGAGGCGAAAATCCTCCGTTTAGCAAGCAACGAGGTGTCTGTCATCGCTGGGGCCAGCTCACTCGCGCCTTCCTCCGTGCTCAAATCCTGCCAAGAGTCGAGAGGAAGGAGTCGGTGAGGTGGCCGCACCGTACCCCTCCTCTTTCCTCACCTCGCCCTGGTCTTCTGTGGGTTTCCTCGGTCCGTCCGTCTGCGCTTCTCTCTTTTTTTTGCTTGTCGGGACGGCTTCGATCGAGGCCCACGGTCTCGGGTTCGGGTCTCTCGGTCCTTCGGCACTGGGAGCCACTGGGAAGCGGAGTGTTTCCCATGCGCTGCGCTGGAGAGTTCTGGAGTCGCCGAGCCAGAGCAGTGCTGTTTGCGAGAAGGACGCCTTCAGCACAGTTTCTTGAATGTTTAGCTGCGGAGGCAGAGTTGTAGCCAGGAGTTGTTATTATTACTAAAGAGCAGAGCCCTTGTACACCGACACGAGAGAGACTGACCTTCAGGCACCTTCTGTCTAAGAACCCCAACACAGGTTTTTCAGAGAATAAGACAGGGAACAGAGCTCGTGTACTTGTGTACAGTATGTACAGAAATAATAATAATTCCTGATACTTTATACTGTATATGCTTTTCTGGAAACTCCATTCAAAGAGCTTCACCAGTAATGGGTGACTCCCCTCCACCACCACCAGCCAGAGTGCTCCAGTCCTCTCCCCACACACAGCTCTCAGTGGGGAGGAGAGCAGAGTGATGAAGCCAGTTCAGAGAGGGGGGTTATTAGTTCAAGTTCATGTTTATTTGTCACTTCAGCCATATACAAGTATACAGTGGAACAAAATATCCTTCTTTCTCGTCCACAGTGCAAATACAGGCAGGACAGACAGGACACTGACATAGACATTGTAGACAGGATACACTATGGATGCACAAAAGGGCAGATAGTGCAAATACATAATACAATACACACAACGCACTGGGGAAGGGAACACAATTAGGAGGCCATGACCGGTAAAGGTCAGGGGGAGATTTGGCCAGGACACAGAGGTAACACCCCTACTCTTTTTGAGAAACACCCTGGGATTTTTAATGACCACAGAGAGTCAGGACCTCGGTTTTACGTCTCAGCCAAAGGACGGTGCCTTTTTTTACAGTGTAGTGTCCCCCATCTCTATAATGGGGCATTGGGACCCACACAGACTGCAGGGTGAGCGCCCCCTGCTGGCCCCACTCACACCTCTCCCAGCAGCAGCCTCAGTTGATCCCAGGAGTCTCCCCTCCAGGTCCTGGCCAGGCTCACCCTGCTGGGCTCCAGTGGGGCTGCCAGCTGGGAGCTGCAGATGATAGAGCAGGATGAAAGATGTACACACAGAGAGGTCAGTTGAAGTGATGCACGAAGCTCAAGTGATTTGACTATTCCTCCCCTTGGCTGTCTGGATACGGCAGTGGAGTGTAGGCGTCCAGCTCTTTGGTGAACTGGGGCAGCGCGTGTTGAGTTCTCAGTGAGCCAGACTTTCAGAATTACACCGAGCGGATGATAGTGTTTGAAGTTGCCTGCATGTGTTAGACTTGAGTTTCAGTTGGCCCTCCAGAGAACTTATCTGATCTGATCTATACAGCGCATCGGCTAGCCTGGGCTTCTGCGATGTGCGGTGCAGACAGACTTTGAACTGAACTGTTACTGACGAGCTCGCCTGCATTTATTTCGGTACTCTGCTCTGTAGGCTTGTAGGTGCTAAAGATGACCTTGTGCTCTTTTGGGAGGAGGGGTTTTAAACACACAAAGTTAGTGCTTGAGTTCGGAAGCTGTGGCCTGTGAAACTGCCACAGGAGGCAAGGTTCAAACTAAACCCCGAACTGGAACTGACCACAATATTTCTGTTGCAGGCATGGCTTGAATGCACATGCTGAAATGTATTAGCCCTTGGGTGCATCAGGTCCTGCTGATGCAAAATGTCCAAGGCTACTACCTAATACCCTGTGCAAGCATGTTTCAGTGTGCTCTCTAATGAGCTTGGTGTTTTCTCTCGTTTGCATTATCTTTGTGCCAAAGGTGACATATGAAACCTCTATTTTGTGCATGATCATTACCCAAAAAAAAAGGTGTTGCTTCACTGGAAAGAGCTCAGCAGGGTGAAAATGGATACATTCTCAATGTGCGTCAGCCTATATCTATACTCCAGCCAGTAAAGGGAATGTGACCTCTTAACCAGTTATAGGAGAGACTTGTGGGAGTTTTGACTCAGATCTTAAAAGTCCTGAAAAGAGCTACCTCAAGCTCAGACGTCAAACGTGCTATTAACACAGGACGTTCCTGCAGCAAACACAAGAAGGACCCACCCCCAACCTCCCGTCTCTCCTAGAGACAAGGACAACGGGGTGTCCAGTCATATTGATGTAATGAGCAGACAGAACTGCATTCAGAACAATCACCGCTGGCGCCCAAAGTCAAGAGTGTTTCCCCTGAGTCAAAATCAGCCATGCACAAAATAAAAACCCCTTTCCTTAAAGGAAAAGCATCGGGGAAAGAAGTGCATCTCTTTAGAGGGCTGCCACACACATCGCTCATGTGGAGCGCTGACCAAGGGGTGAGATGAGTGTGACACAACACTGTGCACAAAATGGAGCACACACCAACACAGCTGGATCTAGGGTAACTTGTTCCTTGTTCTGCGAGAAGCATGACCAGATGCTCATGCAGAAGGGTGTTTAAGACGTACCGTAGGGAAAGCATGACTGTAATGTGGGACTTATGCGTGCAGAGCGCTTATCCCATTGCCCCTCTACCCCAGACTGAGCTAATTTTGCAGAATGGGGATGTCCCCAGAAATTGCAGAAGTTCTCCTGTCCTGGATAAAAAATAAATCAATCTGCCATCATCCTGTCATCCCATGAGTCATGGTGTTGCGTGCGAGGCAGGATCTGCTCACGTTTTTAGCTGATTTTGGTTTCCTGTTTTGCAACATGTGTGTGTGAGGATAAAAAAGAGGGTCCGGTTCTTTGATTGGGGGGTGCAAAGGAGAACCAACTCAATGCACAGAGAACATCCATCCATCTTCTAAGCAACTCAACCATTTGGGGTCACCTGTCCCAGCAAGTAATGGGCATAATGCACACCCTGGACAGGACACCTGTCCATCAGAGGGGAGACACAGACACACACTCACACACCCTGGACAGGACACCTGTCCATCAGAGGGCAGACACAGACACACACACTCACACACCCTGGACAGCACACCAGTCCAACAGAGGGCAGAAACAGACACACACGCACACACCCTGGACAGGACACCTGTCCATCAGAGGGCAGACACAGACGCACACACTCACACACCCTGGACAGGACACCTGTCCATCAGAGGGCAGACACAGACGCACACATTCACACA